TTTTGGCCCCAAAAAGCAATAACAACAACAACAGCGGCAGCAACATCTTCGACGACAGCGGCTGCCCAACATTAATCATAAATTACCAGGTCGTTGAGTTGGCCAAGAAGTCAAGTTAGGGATAGAGTGGCAAGCGGGTTGAAGGAGGGCCAACATCGGAGTAGAGACGCCCCAACGTGTGGCGAGGTGTTCGCTGTGCGCGTTTATAAATTTTGCCAAGCGCCAGGCCAACTCTTTTTCGGCCCAGACCGAACAGACAGACTCTGGGCAAAAGAGCAAGAGCAAAAGAAATGATCATCTTCATCATTGCCGACCCGGCCACGTACTAAAAAATGTGAGATATGGCGGCAGCAGGCCAAGGTTATAATTGGCCCAAAGCGGGCCCAAAACGAACGAGAGGAGCAGCTCATAAAGCAGCGAGAGGAGGCGGTAACGTACAAGCATCCAAGCAGCCAAGCAACCAAGCAGCAAAGAAACCCAGAAACCAGGCCTAAGTCAAGCTGAGATGATGGCCAGGATGCCCAATGCCCGATGCCCTATGCCCACAGTGATGCGCACGTGCTTAACCTCTGACTTTGTTTCCGACCATCATCATCATCAGACAGCCAGCCAACCAGCCAGCCAGCTCCGGCGGCAGCTTCTTCAAGTAGTAGCCTGGCGATTAGCCGCGGATTGTTGTTTACTGGGAACCGACGAGGAGCAGAGGCCGTGAGAGGTTGTTTATGGCCCGCCCAAGGCACGCCCACTTGATGGGGAGGAGGAAGGAGGCAGAAGCCCGATGCCTTCACAGATTAAAGGTGTATTCGGTATTACTTTTAGCTCGGGTTAAAGGGATACGAGCTGGGCAGTTGGGCGGTCATGGGTTTATTACAAATATGGACAGGAAGATTATTTGTCTAATTATTAGCAGTAAGTGATTAATTCTTAAAAAGGAGATTTAAGTTTAGTTTCTTAATATTATAAAGATGCTATTTAAGCTGGAAGTAAGCTTTAATCAAAAGGATAATTAAAGAGGCATCTACAGTGTTTTAACTTTAGTTAAAGTTTCACGTAGTTCCTGCCTAAGTGTAATTGATTTCATAACATCTAATATTGCTATCCCGTAGATACTTTTCCACTTGACTTCCCCTCCAATATTACTGCATCAATTTCTCATGCATTCTAATAAGGAAGTAACTTGCACATGAAACCGTATTTAACTATTTCAGGCCGAGGTGCCGCTGCATATTTTCCAAGTCAGTGAACTCCAAAGACATCTTTTTTAGTAGAAAAGGAGCTAAGGCCTTCCACCCACGCACCTCGCCAAAGGACATTGTGCAGGATCCATCCTCGGCAGACTGCGCAATCTATTCTGCGAGCCGTTGACAGGCATTTGTAATGCACATTCCAGGAATGAAGAGCAGCGGTCATGGCGCAGTGACCAGTGGCGGGCAGCCAAAGGACAGTTCGCAGGACAACGTCGCCTTTCTGGCTGCGAGCCAAGCGTATTTACTGCATATTTACAGGGCAGCTCATAAAAAAGAGGAACAAGTGAAGTAATGTGACCGCTTTAATTGCGCCACAAACTGCACTGAAAATTGAATTTAAAAGAAGGAAATTGCTGACATGGATCGAAGGAAAAGAAGATGGCAAGGGAACATTTTCAATCTGTTCTTTTCATAAATACGCAAATTTGTCCATTGAGGCGGATGCAAATATTTTGCCAAGACACTTCCATTTAACCGTGCCATCCATTTCTCCTAACCACATAAAAATGCCAGCATAGCCAAAGTGCAGAGAAAAATCACTGAAACTGTCTCCCTACCAGCAAGGATACAACATCATCATTATCATCATCATCAGCAGCAGGAGGAGCAGCAGCAGCAGCAGCAAGGATAACGGATAACAATACTGCGTTTGTGGGATTGTCTGTGCACTTGTAGCCGACTTACAGGAACCGCGGCGCCAAAAACTACTAAAAATAAAAGTTTTCATTTTGTCTATTTGTTTCCTGTCGCCTTGTCCCAGTCCCGTGTCCCCATACTTTGGCGACATTTCTCGCTTTCCGCCGGCAACATAAACATACAAGTTGCCATAAAGACAGGTTGTTTTAGATCCCAGCAGTTGGCGTAAATCCGAAAAACTACATTTTTATCCTCAGCGAGGTGAAATAATTTTAAAGATATTAAAAGAAAAGAAAAATAAAAGAAAATTTTGAAAATTTAGTTTTATTCTAAGAAAGTTTGTATGTATAAAAATCATAAGGTTATTCCTCGATATTTAAATAAAATGATGTTTATATCAAACATTTATTTAAAATTACTTAACAAACAAAATTATTTAAAAATGTTTTCTATTAAATGTATTTTGTAATTTTTTCTAAAAATTATAAAAAAATTAAATATTCACCAAGGTGCATTTGAACTCATGACCACTAAATTTGTAAACAGACGCACTAGATGAGTGCACCAACGAATGACTCGCGGCGCCCAGCACAAACACATATATTATAACTGTACCACGCTTTCTGTCCTTAACATATCTTTCATAGCTGACAGATACTAAAAGATACAAAACATAACATGTAAAGCAGATGGCGCCAATATATAAGAGAAAGTTACGCCAATGTCCGCATGTAGGCGCTTAACAACTTCTAGTTCCATTGTTGCCGGAACCATCCTTATATTCATCATTTAAAATGCAAAATTTTATTAACATACTTTTTGGCTGAGTTCCCTCACCATTACAAAGCCAGTATTGGTCCGAATACGGAATGCCATATCTCGTTGAGTTTGTTTTTTAATTTGCAGTAAAACTGTATTCACAGCTTAAAATGTCAAATTTTTGGCATTTTTTCAAAAAATGATGATGTTACCCCTTATCGAATATGCGAAGATTGGTTAGTCAGATTTTCCCCTCAAAGTCAGTGGGCTATACCCATAACTTGGCCAATATTGGTCCGAATACGGAATGCCATATCTCGTTGAGTTTGTTTTTTAATTTGCAGTAAAACTGTATTCACAGCTTAAAATGTCAAATTTTCGGGATTTTTTTCAAAAAAATAATGATGATGTTACCCCTTATCGAATATGCGAAGATTGGTTAGTCAGATTTTCCCCTCAAAGTCAGTGGGCTATACCCATAACTTGGCCAATATTGGTCCGAATACGGAATGCCATATCTCGTTGAGTTTGTTTTTTAATTTGCAGTAAAACTGTATTCACAGCTTAAAATGTCAAATTTTTGGCATTTTTTCAAAAAATGATGATGTTACCCCTTATCGAATATGCGAAGATTGGTTAGTCAGATTTTCCCCTCAAAGTCAGTGGGCTATACCCATAACTTGGCCAATATTGGTCCGAATACGGAATGCCATATCTCGTTGAGTTTGTTTTTTAATTTGCAGTAAAACTGTATTCACAGCTTAAAATGTCAAATTTTCGGGATTTTTTTCAAAAAATGATGATGTTACCCCTTATCGAATATGCGAAGATTGGTTAGTCAGATTTTCCCCTCAAAGTCAGTGGGCTATACCCATAACTTGGCCAATATTGGTCCGAATACGGAATGCCATATCTCGTTCAGCTCGTTTTCTCATTTCTAGTCGAACTGCAGAACTAGTTTTGTACAAAGCGAATATCTAGTATTGGAAAACAGATTTTCCGCAAATCCTTTAAGCCTCATACATTTTAGTAGAATATCAGGTAAGTTTGAGCACCGAAACTTCACAATCCCTTGCGGATGCAATTTAGAATTAATTATGCGAGGCTTGCTTGCCACTTGGCTGAAAACTTTTTGGGGCAGAGCAGAGAATTGCCGACACAGCCACGACTTCGGAACCAGCTTGTGCTGAGGTTACAAATTCTCATATGTCGCCACACACAGGACGAAAAGTGATGGACACAAGGACATTTCGGGCGAGGAGTTGACACAAGAGCATTTAACGCTTCAGCACGTTTTCAATTCAATTTCCACATCTAGAAGGCAGCGCCAAGGAAGCTGAGGCGTTGAAGCGTGCGAAAACTTAAGCAGACGCACCGAGCATGACAAACGAGGTTAAGGACAATGCCGGCAGGATAATGATAATGAAACCGAATTATGGGCGCTTCAAGACGGTGGGTGTGGCCAGGAAACAAAAATAAAAGATGGAGGAAACCAGTGCTTAATGAAGATGCCTGCAATGGGGCAGCCTTGCAATAAATCAACAAGTTACGCGTAAAGGGCTACTGTTGCCCTATCCTTTGTATCTTTTACATAGCAAGATACTCGGCCATATTTGTGCGCCGAAACAATAAGTGAACCGCTTAAAAATGCATAAATCAAAAGGCGGCAAAGGCGCAAAACGCAGCCAAGGGAACTGAAACAAAAGCGAAGCGAGAAGCAACTGTCAAAATGATAATCGCCAACAACTGTTGAGGCTGTCTTTGGCCGTATGACAAATGTTGTCGACTCGTAAAGGGGCTGTTCCCAAAAGCACCCACCACGCACTAACCAAAATCAATGTTTGAAAAACACATTTTACTTATTAGTTCCCTTTTGTTTGAGGAGGACAGACAGAAGACATCATAATGGTACAGAGCAGAACTGAACGATTCCAATGCCCATGCCGGCCGATCCATCCATGTCGGTCATAATCATAAAAACAAATTCAAAACGCAGAAGCTAAACTCGTGACAGGACATTCCCCCAATCGTCAACCCCTTAATCCACTTGTTTCCCTAACCCATAATCCTCTCTTTGACTGCTGCTTATTATCATAATCTTATTGGTGGTGGTGGCAGAGTATTCCATATAGCACAGCTGACCATTTGCTAAAACAATTTGCGATATCTTTTTGAGTATTTTGTTATGGGATGAAATCACGAAAGAGGATTATTACAGGGGGATGAGTACAGTCTTGGCAATTAATCATTGTTTAAGTAAACATAAATAGTGAGTTTGATAGGTACAGCAACAGTGTTATCGAAATTGATGGGTTGACTAAGCGATAAATGTTTTTATTTGTTATGGAATACTTTTAATAATGAGATAAGATGCCATCACTGATGAACTTAGTAAGACCATATTTGCAGAGTTCTTTCGCTTTTCTCTCTTGCCTTTCGTTTCTAAGTCCAAAGTTCAAAAAAGCTACTACAGTTAAGAAAATCATCAACAATAATTTAAATTAAAATAGTCTTTAGAAATATGGGTGAACTTCAAGCAGGCGTATCGCCTTTCAAGACGAAAAACACTTATGATGATAATCTCAAGGTCTGGAGTGGTGGCGAAGGGCGGAGCTTATTCTCCCCGGATCTGTCCATCGGAGAGATTATCTTCCGGCAAATGGAACTTCATCCGAATCTTACTGCACAGGTATGTCTTAAGTTTATTAAAAATTATTAATTCTAAATTTAAACGAGAACTTCAGATCTCAGTTACGGAGGGCACAGTGCTGACCTGGGAAGAACTGCATATGAACGCCATGCGAATTGCCAGTTATATGCGGGAATTCGGTTTGGAGCAAGGTGACTTTGTTGGAATAGTTGGCAGGCTAACCACTCACTTGACGGCTCTGGCTTATGCCTGTTTCTTCAATGGAACCCCATATCATGCGCTTCATACTACGTACGAAAAGTCATGCATCGAAAGGCTATTCGGAATTACTACGCCAAGACTGATCTTTTGCGATGGAGATGACTATGAAAAGGTCAAAGAAGCTTCAAAAAACCTTCAGGTACGGATAGTTACCATGCGGAATCATCCAAAAGGATCACTTACGATCCATGACATCTTGAACACATCCGTGGTCCAGAACTTTAAACCAGTCCGTTTGAAAGATGGCACTGATCAAATACTGGCCGTTCTCAGTTCTTCCGGGACTTCGGGACTTTCAAAGGCAGTCACCACCAGCAATAGTCACCAGATTATTGGAAACTTTCTGTAAATATAATAATCAAAATTAGGCAAACTTTTTACAATTTGACACTTTTCAGTCCCGTGAACAGTTCAATGGTTAGCTATAACCCAAACACATTAGATTGGGCATCGGGAATCCAAATGACCATCAATGGTGCAGTGTTTAGCATGACGAGCGTTATTGCAGACACCGACTTCGATCCTGGTTTTTTGTGTGGCCTCATTAAAGAGTATAAAATTTCCGTAGTCTTCATAAGTTCTTGCCAGTTGGCTATGCTGGCCAACTGTCCTGAATTCGAATTGGCTGACTTTTCTTCTGTAAAGTACTTCTTTTACGGTGGATCAAACTGTTCATTGGATGCCCAGCACAAAGTACGTAGTCGTCTTCGCCCCGACTGCTTTATTTTTAGTTATACTCTAACAGAGTTAAACGGTCCCGGATGCTTAAACTTTAACTTCGATGAGAAACCCAACTCAGTGGGTCGTCCGGTTATGGGCATTAAAGTAAAGATAATCGACGAACAGGGCAAGGCTCAAGGACCTAATATTGTTGGTGAGATCTGTTTAACTCATGGCCGGAAATGGTGCGGTTACTATAAGAATCCAGAGGAAACTAGAAGGATGCAGGACACCGAGAATTGGTTTCACACTGGAGATTTAGGTTACATGGACGATGACGGATATCTCTTTATTATTGATCGACTAAAGGACATGCTAAAGTATCATACAATTATGTATTATCCCAGCGAGATAGAAAATGTAATCGCTGAAATGCCAAATGTAGTTGAAGCTTGTGTCTTTGGCATTTGGGATCCAGTGAATGGAGACAAGGCAGCTGCTTCAGTGGTCAAGAAACCTGGAACCCTACTCGAGGCCCAGGACGTTGTAAACTACGTAAAGAAACGTATCACTGCGAAGTTTAAGCAATTAAATGGAGGAGCTTTAATCGTGGATCACATAGTTAACAGTGGTAATAGAAAAGCAAATAGAGCAGCTACCAAGGCTGAATTTTTAAAAACTATGGAAAATAATAATTTGTAGACCATTTTAATGTTTTGCATGTCTAAATTAATTTATGATTTTATGTATTGTAACTAAATATGTATTTGTTTAAAAGCTGAAAATAAATTTGTTAAGAAATTGTTCTATAAATCATTTCAACTTAGAAAACTACTCGCAATATTTTTTGCAGGTATCGATTACAAAATATTAATTACAGCTGATCTTCCGATAAGCGCATTATTATATAATTGCGTATTGTATGGTTGAAAACATTTTAAGTTCGTTTTTGTTAATTTTTTAAATATGTGTGATGTAATAGACAGTTATAAGCCTTTTAAGGCTGAAATCACGTATGATGATGACCTCAAGATCTGGAGTGGCGGCGAAAGGCAGAGTTTATTCTCGCCAGACTTGTCCATCGGAGAGATTATCTTTCAGGAAATGGAACGCCACCCAAAACACATAGCCCAGGTTCGTTTTTGCGGTCTCCTTAAGTCAAACTTATATATTTTCATTTAAACCTTAAGATTTCTGTTACGGAGAATATTGAGTTGAAACGAGAAGAGCTTCTTATGAACGCGAAGCGAGTGGCAAGTTACATGAGGCAAATTGGATTGACGCAGGATGATATCGTGGGCATCATGGGCAGGTACACCGCGCACTTGACAGCTGTGGCATATGCCTGTTTCTTCAATGGAACACCTTTTCACGCCCTTCACAATGCCTTCGAAGAGTCAACAATCGAGCATCTTTTCGGAATCACCAAACCACGACTGATCTTTTGCGATGGAGATGAGCATGAAAAGGTTAAAGTAGCTACAAGAAACCTTCAGGTAAAGATAGTTACCATGCGGAATCATCCAAAGGGATCTCTGAGGATCCAGGATATTATGACCACTCCCGTGGTAGAGAACTTTAAGCCAATCCGTTTAAAAAGTGGTAATGATCAAACCTTGGCCATACTTAGTTCTTCGGGCACCACTGGGTGTTCCAAAGCCGTCACCATCAGCAATAGTCATCAGATTATTTTGAACACTTTGTAAATATATTAATCTGAGTTATGCTTCCAAATCTAATTTGTATATTTATTTTTCAGTCCCATGAAAAACTCAATAGTTCAATATACCACAAGCACTCTGGATTGGCTCTCTGGTCTAATGGTAACCATTGTCACAGGAGTATATAGTATAACTAGCATTATTGCAGACAGTGACTTCGATCCTGGACTTTTGTGCAAGATAATTAAGGAGTATAAGATTTCGATGTTGGTTTTAAATACTTCCAACATGGCCAAGTTTGCTAATTGTCGAGAATTCGAAGCCGCTGACCTAACTTCACTAAAGTACCTCTTTTATGGAGGATCAAACTGTTCTCTAGGAGTTCAGCAAAGAGTCCGTAGTCGTTCAAACTGCAATTGTTTACATTTTTGTTATTCTCTATCAGAGTTAAATTCCGCTGGATGCGTAAACTATAACTTTGATGCGAAGCCCAATTCAGTGGGTCGTCCTGTTAGTGGTATCAAGGTAAAAATCATCAACGAACACGGCGAGGCTCAAGGTCCCGATAACGTAGGGGAAATCTGCTTTAAAAATAATCAAAAATGGTCTGGCTACTATAGAAATCCTGAGGAAAGTAAGATAATTCAGGACTCCGATAACTGGTTTCACTCTGGAGACCTAGGCTACATGGATGAGGACGGATATTTATTTGTTATCGATCGTTTGAAGGATATGCTGAAGTACCAGAACATAATGTATTACCCGAGTGAGATTGAAAAGGTCATCACTGAAATGCCGAATGTAGTGGAAGCTGTTGTTTTTGGCATTTGGAACCCAGAGGTTGGCGAAGAGGCAGCAGCCTCAGTGGTCAGGAAACCTGGCACACAATTAGAAGCCCAGGATGTTGTAGACTTCGTAAAGAAACGTCTAACCAGCAAATACAAACAGCTAAATGGAGGAGTTTTAATTGTGGATCACATCACTGAAAGTAAAGATAGAAAAATAAACAGATCTGCAGCCAAAGAGCACTTCTTAAACAATTTTAACAATAATTAGAATGTGAGAGCAAACTAGTGTGTATCTAAAGCAGGAACAGTTCTGCAAATAATAAACTAATATTTATTACCTATTACAAATGTGTCCTAGAACAGAAATATTAAATCAGAACACATTCGTTCATTAAATCTACACTAGCAACTTACAGCAAGATGAACTTCCCCCTACATTCCACCCAACCAACCCCTTGTAGGAAAAACTTCAGGCTATTAAAATATGCGCATATGTAATAAGTAAACCACTAAACTGGCACCAATGAATAGCTACCCAAAAACGAATCAACCACTTAGCACCCAATTGAAAAGTGTGACCCAGTTTAAAAGGAGTTTTAAAAGAAGATTTGGCAAACGCTTAATGTAATTGCCAAGGTCCATTTGCGGCAAAAACATTTCGACATATGAGGAATATGCGAATGCTTTTATAGGATCCAAGCACATATGGGAGAATCCTTCGTAATGGATGCATTAATTCCGCGCTAATGTTGCAAATATATCTGCAAAGCTGGAAGAGCAGGCCGAAAATAGTGACAACAATGAAAACTAAGCTCATAAATTTCCATGACAATGGAATTATGCTCTAATCCACCCCGAAAAGTTATTGAACTCTCTCCGGCAGAAATCGAAGCCACAAGCGTAAATCTTGCCTGCCTGTCATAAATTTCCTTGTTTTCGCATTCGATTTTGGTTTTTCGATTCGAATGGAATGGAATATTATTTATACGCATGAAATCGCAATTTTAATTCAATTAGCCCGAGCAGGAATACTACAAATGATTACCAATTTTATTTCTTTTCCATTTCTTTTCTTTTTAACAATTATTCCTCGTTTAAGGCAGACTTCGAGAGTAAATGTAGAGTAAATTTATTCCGCATGATTAATTCAAGATTCGATTTTGAAAATCAACAGCAAAAGGAAGGTGGGTGGCCCCAAAAATACTAAAAGCTGAACAAAGTAAAATATTTGTTCAAGGTGTTTGAACTCGAAGAGCTGGCAAACGAAATCAAAGAAACGACGTCATTACATATGATAATGCAGACGAATTGGCAGCAGAAAGAACTAATGTTATGAAAATTCGATGAGCAGTCGGGGCAGAGAAATTATAGATTGTTTATTGGAGCGAAGGAAAAGCGTTGAATTACAATATTTAAGGGCTCAAACTTTGGGTCTATATTCTGAAAGAAAATTCTATGATTTACCCAAATTTCAGTTTATAAAATAAGTTTGAAGAAAGATATAATCTGTTTAAGGGTTAAAATATAAATCTAGAAAAACTAATCAAAGATAAGCCAAATCATTAGCTGATCTAAATGAAGCGCTTTTCGAGATCCGTATCAAATTAATGGCATCCCAGGTCATACTCCATAGAAATCCAAAACATAGATCAATCTTAAGCAAAGTCAATTGGGAATTTAGCTGAAACCGCAACTGATCGAAGGACGGTTGAGTGGGTACATCTTCCCAAAGGTACCAGCATATGCTGATGCCACATTAGATCGACGACTCACTTGTCAGTCTGTTGGGTAGGATGGCACCAGTTTTGTGATGGTTATCACCCGACAATGGACCAGTTCCAATCAGAGAGTCAAAGAGCGAAAAGCACTCAGGGGAACTGGAAACCGGGAACTCACAACTCATAACTAACAACTGGGAACTGGGAACTGGAGAATCCCGCGGCGCAGCGATGTTCTCCGCGCATATGTCAGCATTTTTTCCAAATTGGAATCGAAAAATGCTGCACTAACAGCATTTTGTGGTTTTCAGCATAATTAAAGGCAGACGGAGAACCCCCGGCAAACGCCCCGGACAGATCGTAAACGTCGAAAAACGTAAGGTGTCGTCCGGACGGGGTTGCGAATGGGATTCATGAGGAGTGGTTGCAATTGGGATTGGGACTAGGAGTTTTCGGCGAGTTAACAAAGCCATCAATGGACCATAAACTAAACACTTTTTAAATGCTGAGCGGGGGCTGGGCAAAGGACCTCGGAGAGTCCTTGTTACCATTGTCGAAATCGCACAGATGTTTGGCTCAACGCGAATGCGATTTTGTTGCCCGGGATAACTAGCGACCCTTCTCATTAAAGGGTAGTTTTCATCATTTTCGTACCGCTCACACAGTGGGACTTCCTGCAATTGGAACTTGGCTCTATCTAACCCACTGTGCACTCTGTGCATTCCTAGCTGATTAGATCTGATTTCGCAATCCGATTCCGCCCTGTCAGTTGGAAGGACAGACAGTGAAACAGGTTCCAGGGCAGGGTCACAATTTATGGCACCAGAAAACGTATTGAGCAACTTTAAATGCGGGTCATCTCAGCCTGTAAAGCATGGATGTGGGGTACTCTGTGCTCTGAGGTGGTGGCAACTGGTGGTAATGATGGTGTTCTCTGGTGGTGACTTCGTGGTCGCTTTATTTGTGCAGCTTCGCTGAGCATACGCTGCACATCCGCCTAAAAACGGAAGAATCCGCCAAATGTTTCATGTTTTTCTTATGAATATGTTTTACAAGTTGAACTGAGATGGGTTTTAAAGTCCGAAACTGATATGCCTTTAAAGAATTGTGTATTGTAGGAAATATATTTATATAAATATATTTATTTTTTCTGAAACATTAATAAAAGTAAATTAAAAAGCTTCTTTCATAAAAATCTTAAAAACGTTTCCATGATTAATACGATTTTAATACATTTTCTTTTTTGTTATTATTATTAATTATTTAAAATCTTCCTTATTCCCTGACCCAACTTAATCACAATTCCATTAAGCTCTAATAAGCACCCTGCAAATCTGAAGAACCCCAAGTGGATGTTCCTGTTCCAGCTCTTCCGGCCGACCCTTCTGGCCCACTTGAAGAGCTCTTGACATTATGGTTATCCAGCAACCAAGTCCAACACTTGGCAACTGTTGCGAGTTCTGTTTGTGTTTTACGAGTTCGAATTGTGTGTTTGAGCTGTGGAAAATATTGCCACATCGGGACACATAAATATTTATGCCGCATTCGATTGAAAGCTTCTCAAGCGTAAGCATTTTAGATAAAGTCCCAGCCGCCGCCACCCACTCAGGTGCATTTGTAGCATCGTTGGCATTTTGCATATGACAGCAGAAATCGTTTTTGTGGCTTGATTGCGAGCGAATGTGCGTCTCAAACTGATTGGACCGACGCACAACAAGCCCGGATGGAATCGAATCGGAATCGACATCGTCATCAGCCGATTTGTTAACCAAAACAAGGGCTCTAATCCGACTAAGACCTAACCGGAGGCAACCGCAAGAATTCACCACCATCACAATGCAATGGATGTTGGCCCTCGGGCCTTGTTAGAGCCAGAACGTACGACCCTTCATTCGCGCATTTTTAATCCGTTTAAATGAATGACAGTCTAATTGGAGGATTTGGAAAAACTGGAGGACGAACCCAGAGCCAGACGGCTCCTTAATAGTGACAAAGTCCTTGCCATATGCTTCGAAAAAACCACATGTTATTCACGGTATTTAAACAAACAGCAACAGGGGCGTTCTACGCTAGGAACAACCCTCCATATACTCCAGTTCCAGATCCAGATCCAGCCCTCCAAAGCCCATAGTCCTCCAACCCTCATACAATTAGGTTCTCGCCCTGCTCACGTGAAATCCAATTCGAATTTTTATTTAATGCGCGAAAAGCACTTGATTGGATCCAGAGCAGGACTCGAGTTTTAGTTTACTCCGCACTCCAGGGACTCATTCCAGAGGGGTGGCAAGTGAAGGACTCTTGCAGGATGCAATCTGTGTATCAAAACTCTAAGGAAACTTCCACTGCGACAGCACAACACTATCGCACTGAGCAAAAAGGATTCAAGATTGTGTTGCAGCAGATCGGATTTCATTTTTTAAAACCAGTTTAGGTGAAACTCATATGTAGATATATCTATAATTATCATTTAAGATCTACAAAACCTTTCAACACATTTAAATATGGTCTTAAAACCCATTTAAGATAGGGCTAAAGGGTTGAAAGGTTAAAACAATTCCTAGTTTATCCATTTTTTCCAGTGCAATGTTAGATTAGAGTTCCAGGCAGCAAGAAGCTGTTTCCTCCAGGATTTCCACACAAAGCACAAAGATTACCAGAGACAGGCAGCACATTAACATCAACCTAGGCCACAATCTCCACAGAAAAGGTGTCTGCTGTCTCCGGAATAAACGTAGCCCAGCTCTACGCTAAAGTTGAAGCAATTAGCATTTACATTTTGCTATCTCCTTAGCAAGGATAATTGAAACGCGCTGAGGATGCCATGGCAAGGCATAAGGAGCACGTAACTGTAGTCTAAACTCTATTCAGAAGATTGTCATCTTAGTTTTTAATTTGCTTCCTGGGCCATTTCCTTGCTTCCTTCCATTTCCATCGGGCTTGACTTAATCACACAAAAGGCAATTTCACGCCTTTTTGCGCTTTGTCTCAGCCTGACAAGGGGGGAATCACTTTGTCAGTTGGCAGTTTGATGTATCGACAGTCGCTAAACCAAACAACCAACCCACCTAAAATTCCAACCCCTGCCTCAATGACAAGCCAAAATCTTTTAGTTAGCTTTCCAGAGAGATCAGCAGGGGTAGATAAGTCTTTGGGTTTTAGTGGAAATTTTGTGCTCGATTTGTATAGCGGAGATTTGCGTTAATTTCTTCAGAAAATATTTGCGTCAATGGTCCAAGGATGTGATTGGCATTTTCACTTGACTTCAATTGTGGACACGTGCCACATATGTGGCTAAGCAGTCTAAGCAGGGGTAATTCATGGTGGCAATACGAAATATATTGGGAAAATTGGTTCATATTAAGATAAGGTGATAAGGAACGATAAGAAATGAACAGTGCTATCTTCGCTTTTATAGGAAAATTAAGTAAAGTAACAACCAACTTGTTTCCTTCTTAAATTATAAACAAATCTTAAATTTTCCCAAAGTTTTAACAAATCATCAAATACGAAAACCCCATTATTTATCACTTTAAAATCGCATCAGCTTATGGTTTGAGCTTGGATTGTTCGATCGGTAATTAATTAAACACAAACTAAACAATATTTTTAATGAAATGGCCATGGACGAAGGCAATCATGTGTTTAATATTAATTTCGCCGACAGCCAACATGGCGGCCAAGCGAATTATAGGCTCCAGCACACACTCCCACACACACACACACTTGGCTGGTTGCCATAAATATTAATTAAAAATGCAACTCATATGGCAAGTGGAACAATTAGCACCTGAAAATATGCAAACATTAAATTGCCACAGCAGCAGCAGCAGCAGCAGACAAACAACAGCAACAAAAACTGCAACAAAAGAAGTGCAATTTAAATAAAATATACATGGGCAACGTGTATAGCAAACCTTGCTCACGACTGGCCATAACAGACACATATTTTGTCCTGGCAATGGCCACATCCTCATATCCGGTCTGCCAGGATCTAGGGTCTAGCCGGGCAAAAAAAATAAAAGGGGAAATAAGCGGGGAGTTGCAGAACGAGACGGAAAACGAACGGAAAACATTGCACAATTTGCTATTGTTGCATGTGTATATTTACAACTGGACATTTGCCACTTTTTCCACATAGAGCCAACTTAACTGACAAATAAATATATTTCGTTTCGTTGAAATCTTTCGGCGTTCAACAGTCGCCTGCAAAGCGGGGGAACCCCAACGTTATATTGGGTGTGTGTATGTGTGTGTATGTTTGGCAATATGTAAAAGCTACGCGCAGCATATACTCAAAATCCAAACCACCAGCAGCAGCAGCAGCAGCAACAACAACAAATGCAACAAACACAGCGACACAAAACATGGCCACATATTCACACAATCTCGCTGGCGCTGCTAAAAAATCGACAAAAACAACCTGTTCGGAAACACTTGCAACAAGGATATCAACGCCAGCAGAGACAGGGATAGAAAGGCTAGAACGAGAGGCCGTATCCTGCCATATTTTTGGGGTGGGTGTGAGAGGCAGAGAGAGAGCCAGAGAAAGAGAGTACGGCCAGGACCAAGCGCCGCCTCTTTTCGGAAAAGTTATCAGCACAGTGAAAGTGCACAGTGGGCAAAATACTATAATTGTGGGGCAAATATTAATGTAATTTTGAGACAAATATTTTTTAAAATTGTTGGAAAAAACTAAAACTTATTTAAAGTTTCATCATGTGATGAGGAATCCTATTTCGAAAAATGAATAATCAAAGTATTTGTCGCAGTTGATAAATTAAATTTTGATTGATTTTAATTGAGGTGCCCATTTGTTTTCAAAAATAAATCATAATTAACACAAATGTATAGAACCCACTGTACCATTGTATCACATACAATACCTCAGGGTTTTCGAGCAAGCCAACCTGGCCGGGGATGCCAGCCAACCAGGACTCGTCCTGGCCAAGGCTGGCACAATAAAACCACAGAATATGTTTGCCAACTGGGAAAGCAGATGGACCGCTGGAGAGGCGGAGTATGGGCCAGAGACAGAGAGGGAAAGCCGCTAATGAAAGAGAAGGCAAGCGAGAAAGAGAAAGAGCAGGAACATAAGGGTGGTGACGACTGCTCTCTGCAGGACCTGAATCTGAACAGACTCCGAGCAGAATCAGGACAGATGGGCCAAGTGCCGCGAGTGCGGAGAGTTGCCTTTTTCCCATTTGAATGGGACAATATGAGAATACGAGAATTCCAACTGGACGCGGTGGTTGGCAGCGGGTACTTAAAGAGGAACAGATTGCGGGCGGCCAGCAGTCGAAACTGGAATTTCGAATCGCAAAGAACTAACCCAAGAACGCAAAAGCCACACCAAAAGCCCAGTGAAAGTCGAAAAGTGTTTGAAAGTGAAAATGAATCTACTCATGGATAGCTTGCCGTCGCATGCGAATCCCGGCCAGCGTCGCTCTACGCCGCCCCAGCACGCCGAGCTTAGGATCTCCACATCGCCACAACAATCTCCCCAGCAAAATTCAACGACAAATCACAACAACAATAATGAGACACCCACATCACCAGCTGGTGGAAAGACCACTCTGAAACGAGCCTTTGATGTCGCCTTTCTGATGATGCCCGATGAGCGGATCAAGCAGAAGCAGGCCGAGAAGCAGGCACGTCTCCAGGAGGCACTGCATCATCATCACCATCAACAGCAGCAGCAGCAACACCAACAGCAGATTAGTCACTATCCCACAGATTTGTCTCCTCGAGGAGCTCCTTCACAACCACCATCCCCGGCGGCATTGGAGTATATCAGTCTTTTGGAGGCACGCCAGCGATATCCTCAGATCAGCATTCGTTCCCCGAGGGTCTATGATGATCCCAGTGTGATTATACCCCTTGTGGATTCACCGGAGGCCCCGTCAACTTCTTCTCCACCACCGCCCATGCGAAGTGCTTTCACCAAAGTCGCCTCCTCGTCGCTGTCCACTGCATCATCTTCTCCATCAACAACTTCCCGAATAGAATCACCCGTGGATGTTGGAGCCCCACCTTCGAGCCCCGATCAGCTAAGCTGTCACTCGATGAGTCCGCCATTGGTAACGCCACCGCCAAGAACAAACAGTGGTGGCCAGAATCCAAATCCCCTGCCAGCCAATCCCATTGTGTACCACAACTTCCGGCCGGAGTATCAGTTCAACGGCGCCTTCCAGGCGGTCAATCCAATGCAGGCCTTGCAGGCGCAGCAGCGACTCAAGCAACAGCTGCTTTATACTCGACCTCCTGGACCGGGGAATCCAAATGCTGGAGGAGCTCCTATGCCAGGAAATTCACCACCTGGACCACCGTCGGAGTTTCTTCACGCCTATCCGGGATTTGCTCCGCCACCACATCCATTTGCAGTGTCTCAACCTTTGCAAAATCCGGCTGCAGCTGCCATACTCTCCACGCTGATACCACCCACTCTGGCATCCACCTTTACACTGACCGCTCAAAACGTATGCGCCAAGTGCAACATAAGTTTCCGGATGACCAGCGATCTGGTGTATCATATGCGATCCCATCACAAAAGCGAGGTGGCCTGCGATCCGAATCGCCGCAAAAGGGAGGAGAAACTGAGATGTCCCGTGTGCCAAGAGACTTTCAGGGAGCGTCACCATCTAACCAGGCATATGACTGCCCACCAGGACAAGGCCAGTGATCATCAGCCTCAGCTGGATGACTCATCCTCTTCCGCCGGAGATAACGAGATCATCAACGTGGTCGGAGGAACACCACCTGGTCGCAGAATGGGTGGCATGTCCAAATGATCGAAGCATTTCTTCGGATATTTTTAAGGCATCATCTCCCCAAAGAACCCGTTGGTTTAACCCATAATACCCCGTTTTCGATTGTGATATTAATTTTAGTTTCCCCCACGCTCCGATTTCAGTTCCCTTAGCCTTAAATGTAGTGCAATTTGTATCTTAAATATGTAACTCGATCTCCCTGTATCTCAATAAATTCTCTGTCTTATGCAGGAGACCCGAAAGGGTGTCTAGTTTGATCATTGTAAGATATTATAGTCATCATAAGTTGCAGATCTGCTAATATTAGCATTCAATGTGTGGCTGAATGTTTCAATAAAAATCTAATTGTTATGCCAATCCAATAATTATGAAGAATTTTTTACTGAACTTTGGGTTAAATGTTTGGTTTTCATAAATTATGAAGAATTTTGAAACTGAACTTTGGGTTAAATGTTTGGTTTTCATAAATTTTTCATTACCTACTTAGTCAACTAAGAAACCAGAAACCAGATCTTAAAAGAAGCCTTGGCTTCCGGATTCAGCAACATATGGAGTTCTTGAAACCTTACCAAGCAACCAACCATTCCGATTATGAAGGTGAGCAAAAACATAGGTTCCCAGGCCCAGAAAAACCACTAAAAATCCACGGGCACCAGACTAACATACGCCATGAGAGTAGAGTGAAGAATATGTTCAACTTGTTAGCGCAGTCAAGCTTAGTTGCAGGATTCATTTTGGCTGCATGCAGCAATTAGATGCGGCCACAAAAACTGCGACGCCGACGCAAATGAGCTGGGAACCGAAATGGTAACAAGATGAAAGAATACTCTGGGGTTGTCCGGAGGCCAAAAGGCAGTCATTCGCCCAGATGCCGCGACGAATACGACGAGATCTAGAATAACCCATCATCATAGAGAGCTCGTGCAGTTTTTGGCGAAAATGTAATTCGAATTTCAATATTTCCACACACTTGCCAACCCTCCTGAATTCAGTTCCCATGAGCCTCGAATTTGTGTAGCATGGCGAATTCCTACAAAGCGCAACGAATTCCTTGGGTGGTGGCTGCTCGCCCCTAGAGTTTTCCTTGGCTCGTTGCTGCACTCAAATGAGCCACATCGAATTGCGTTGATTTAGCGTGGCCAAATCCTGTTAGCCCCGTGCCACAAAAGCCAAGCAGACATCCAGGATTCTCACAGGATGTCTTGCTGCCTTATCGACTGATGTATCAATTGATGGCATCGCTAAACGGCAAACGTTCTGCTCCGATCCGCTCTGCTCATTGTTCCCATGATGGGATTAGCATTTTATGGCTTTGTGTTCGCTGCTTGCCACTTGATAAAGACATTTTCCCTCGCTTCATTCACATGGGTGGAGTGTGGGGGGAAAACAATTGCTGGGAAATTCAATGAAGTCAAATTGGTGGGGTGCTTAAAGGTAAAGAGATACAGATAAGGTGGCTTTTCATGCTCAATATACGCTTAAGGTATGCACCTTTATTATTACTTTCATATATATTCTGATTTCTATTCAATTTCGAGTTTAAAAAGATATAAAATCCCCATCTTCTCCAATCTTCTTGGTAGGATATAAGTTAGAGACACATCTAGTCTTATATCATTTCCCATACTAAGATAAAAGCCCGTTAAAGTCATTCGCTATGATTTATTTCATGCATTTCCCCAATGAGCAATACAAGCTTCCTTTAAAAAACAATTACAACTTCCGACTTCCACGAAAACAAACAAGCGACACCCATATGAGCTACCATTGCCGTAAAGCGAACACATCGTCAAAATCACATTTCCTCATTTCATTTACAAGAGGCCACAGCCACATCCAGGATGTAAAGATGGAAGGACTACAGACAGATAGTCTTATGGCAGCCACTCACTCAAAAGGACGCCCAAGGCAACCGCAGTTACCAAAGCGAAGGCAACTTCATAATAAGCCCCATCATCATACTGCTTGGGTGCTACATAATAACCGCCATAATCACATTTCATATTTATCACATTTTTACGCCCACGCTGGTACAATCCGGGGATACGGGAAATCCCATTGCGCAGCGACCTGCGCCGCTTTGTTTGCCTCGCAATTTGACCGTAAATAAATTGCCTGCTCATTTCGTATAAACGGTGGTTCGGGCCCCTTAGTTAACCATCCAGCGTCCGTCCAATCCCCTTGGCTCAAAATCGTGTTCAAATACGTTTAAACACAATGCAAATACCGTTATAATAGCAGGAGCAAGCAAAATCCGACAGCTGGAGTAAGCCTGAGCCCTGGGCTTTGACTCCGCCCCATCATCACCATCATCCCCCCTTAATGGCTCCCCGTGCGTATGAGTGATTTCCACTCATCTGCGCTTAAAAGTATGCAAATGCCATGGCACGGAGTTGCCGGGATTGGAAACATTGCCGGCGGAGAGGAGTGGGCGTGTCAGGAGATGACTTTTATTACATTTTTGTTACGACAACTGGGTGCCTGGCCAAAGTGGTTTTTAACTGCAGGCAATTTAATTTCCACTTGCTCCCAGTTGTTTATATTTCCACCGCAGCCAATGCAACCCATTTGGAGTGTTTGACTACTGATTAGCACTGTGGTTTGGTGAGACTTAACCAAATTAAGTAAGCTTCAAAATGCTAATTCGTTATAAAAACATTTTGGATAACATTTTGGAAAGTTCTGAATGAATTGAAAAGGGTTAAATTAGCCCAAAATTTTGAATTTACTATGTTCTTATCTCTGATTTTGAAAAATTGCGACATGAAATATGCTCTTCTCAAACTATATTATCAGAGAGTATCAAAAGTGTATGAAGTTTTATTTATCTTAAAGTTGATCAACGAAAATATCATCGAAGCAATTTGGAAATGTTTTCGGCAAAGGCGACACTACAAGAGCCCCTGAAAAACTGACAGCCAAGCCGCTTAAACTTTGAACTTTGTCATTTCAATTTTCGCCAAACGGATGCGCTTTGTTTCAGGCCACATCCACATCTACAGCTACGGGGAATGGAGAAACAGACACGGTGGATGCTGGGTAGCTGGATAACTGAACTGAGCTGAGAACGAGGACGAGGATGAGACTGAAACTCGGGCCGAGGACATCCATGAGCCAGCCGGAAACATTGAGCCTGACAATGCGACTTTCATTTGCCGAAACTGCGGAGGAGCTCAGCCATTGTTTTGGCCACGGACAGGACAGGCTGAAGGCCTTTACGGCCACGCCATTCCCGTTGCAGGAAGTTTTTCATGCGCCATGACACTTTTTGTGCGCTCTGCGGTGGCCATTTTGTGCCGTGGCAGGATACCTTTTGCCCAGGAGGCTCCATCACCATCTCCAGCTCCTCCAGCTCCTGATCCAGTTCCATTGAAATTTTCGAATATTTTTGGAAGCATGGAAGCTGTTTGCCATGGCCAAAAGACAGGCGGCGGCTTACCGCACAGATATATATATAACCAGGAGCTGGAGCAGGAGCTACCACGTCCTTGCACTCCATGGCCGTGTCCTGGCCGTAATTTATGATGTGCGCTTCCCTTTCGCTCGCTGGCAGTTGGCAGTTTTTAGTTTCGCTGTTCGAGTTCTGCGGCTGTTTTCTGCTGTCATAACTTTTGGCCCGCATAATTAATAGTTGTAAGCCGCAGCACAGCCACTGACTTTTTAGTTGGACCGATGCACAACTTTTATGGCAACGGATCCTGCGAGCGTTGTTTGCTCAATTAACTTAGCAGGTAGTTAATTTTCCAAAAAGCCGCAAGGCAACAGGAGATCCCCATTGGGTTTGCGGGTTTTTGGGTACTTGTTGTGGGTGCTAATTGATTTACGAGGGAATGTTTCTGCGGTTGCCATTTAAGCTGACTTTAAGTGTTGTTCTCTATCACTCGAAGGTTGTTCCTCAATCCACTTTCCTCTTTAGTTTTGGTTTCTCGGGTTTATTGAAGCATGAAACGCATTTGAAACGCAGTGAAGTTTGAGTAACTGGAAATACGCAATAAGTTGACGCGTATTTGATATTTCCCCACTTGATTGTTTCAATTAAATAGTTTTCTTTATATGTTTCGTGATGAAAATAATCCAGAAACTGATGTATAAGCTAACTAGAAACATTCAAAACTTTGCAATTTTAATGATAAATGCTACAACCTTAAAACTTGTTTAAAAACTAGTTTGGGATGTTGGATAAAATTATAGATTTTTGCTGAAATTATTCAATGGCTAAAATTAGAACTCATCCTAGAAGATAGACACATTTCTAAATCGTTTGCCATAACTTTCTGCGACACATTGAAATCCTGGCACCATAAATACTCAACGAACCCCAAAAACCATTTAATTAAGTTAGCTTTTATGGCTCGTAAATCAGAGAAAGAACGTGGAAAAAACACATATTCAACATTCGCCTGTTCCATATTCAAGTGTGTTGAAGCCCCCATTGGTGGCAAGGTGGCGTTTGGACCAGCAAAAACAAAAATTCTCGCCAAATAAAATAAATGGCATAACCAACGCACGACGCTGACCATGTTGTTTGCTCCCAGCTCTTAATGCACGATTTTAATTTGGAATATTCTCCGGGACAGAGACTGGGTCTGGGACTGGACTGCATATGGGTGTATACATTATGAAATTATGAGCATTAAAATGAAGAATGGCCACTTATCTAAATTACACCATGTGTGGAATGGGCAATGGCACCGTGGGGTTGCTTGTCATCGAACAAGTGACACACTGCCCGGGGATAAACGTTTGCCGCGATCTCTGGCTGGGTTAAGCACACACCAGCCCATATATCATGGCAAATATGCTGAGTATATGGAAATGTCGCCGCCAAGTGATAAATGAAGCACAAAACGGCAAAAATGGCAGCGATACAGGCAACGACAGGGGCACACACATATGCCAGGTAAAAACTGTGGAATAAGAGCAAAAACTGGTAGGAGAAACCAAGTAAGTCACTTACATCCTTGGCCAAATCGTGTTCGCCCTTCTACCCAGAAAAAAACACGAAAGCCAACGCGCAAATATGTCATTTGACATGCTAAATATTTTGCCAGCGACTTCAGCAACACAAGGTAAGTCGCAAAAAATCCCACAGCAAAGCAACATCGAGTATACGCCAAGTAAGACAACTGGAATATAAGTTAGGGTTATATTTGTGGTTGAATATTTATGACTTTTAATGTAGGTAAAGACTTGTGGAATATGAAAATAGGAAATTGTTTTGGTTATCGATTATTTAGTATTCAGATTACATTCTTGGGACTTTAAGTTAAAGTCAATAAAAAGAAACGCTTAGTTGAAAAATAGGACAGTAATTGATTTATCAGGATAGTAATTGATTTA